TACAAATCCAATTCAAGCTACACCTCCCTATGTGGACCTCAACATTGTTTTTATTCAATCATTTCTATTAATGTAAATAAACCTAAATCACACAGTCGAAGAAGAAGAAGAAGAAGAAGAAGAAGAAGAAGAAGAAGAAGAAGAAGAGGAGGAGGAGGAGGAGGAGGAGGAGGAGGAGGAGGAGGAGGAGGAGGAGGAGGAGGAGGAGGAGGAGGAGGAGGAGGAGGAGGAGGAGAAGAAACTGCAATGAGCTATCACTGCAACCTACCAGAATGGCCGGAGGAGGAGGGGGAGGGGGGAGGGGGAGGGGGAGGAGGAGGAGGAGGAGGAGAAACTGCAATGAGCTATCACTGCAACCTACAAGAATGGCCAAAACCCCAAACACTGACAAAATCAATTGCTGGCGAGGATGTGGAGCAACAATAACTATCATGCATTGCTGCTGGGAATATAAAATGGTACAGCCACTTTGAAAAACAGTTTGGCAGTTTCTTATAGAACTATATATGTCCTTACTGCACAATCCAGCAATTGTGCTTGGTCTTTACTCAAAGTTGAAAACTTTGGTCTACACAAATACATGTGTATGAATATTTCTAGCAGCTTTATTTATAACTATGTACCCAGTGCACAAATTTGTGCACCTTAAAAGGAACTCTGGGCCCTGAGGCTTCAGTAGGCATGAGGACAAGTCTTGGGTCATCCTCTGGCCCCCGCCTGGCCTCTCCCACTAGGGTGCAACACCTTGGTCTGGTGCCCCTGCTCATCTGCTTCACCACCCACTGTAACCAGTGCCTACCATGTTCTGCGCACATCCCTGGTGGTCAGCGCACATCAAACAACTGGTTGCTCAGTTGTTCTGATTGTTCTGACACTTGACCTATTTGCATATTTGCCTTTTATTATATAGGATTGTGCAACTTGGAAGCAACCAAGATGTTTTTTAATCAGTGAGTGGATAAATAAACTGTACTAGCCCTAGCCAGTTTGGCTTAGTGGATTGAGCATAGTGTGGACCAAAGGGTCCCAGTTTCAATTCTGGTCAAGCACACAGACCTCTGTTGCAAGCTTCTCTCCAGCCCTGGAGGGGGGGGTGGGGGCATGTGGGAGACAACCAATCAATATGTGTCTCTCATTAATGTTTTTCTCTGTCTTTCCTTCTCTTCAACTCTCTCTAAAAATCAATGGAAAAGTAGTCTTAAGCGGGGATTAATTTTTTTTAAAAAAAAGATAAATAAGCTGTGCTACATCCAGATTATGAATATAATTCACTACTATATAACTCAGTATTAAAAAGAAAGTGAGCTATCTATCAAAATATTAAATGCATACCACTAAGTGAAAGAAGCCAATCTGTAAAGGCTACATTCTTTATGATACTTTATGACTTCAACTATAATACATTCTGGAAAAGGCAAAACCATAGAGACAATAAAAAAATCAGGAGGAGAGTGAGAGGGGTGAACAAGGCAGAGCACAGAGCATGTCGTGAAATTATTCTGTATGATACTCTAATGATGGATACATGAGATTAAACATTTGTCAAGACCCCCTAGAATGTGCAACACCAAGAGTGAACCCTAATTTAGATTATGAACTTGGGTGATAATGATGTCTCAGTGCAGATTCTTCAGTTAGAACAAATGTAGCGCTCTGGTGAGGGATATTGATAATAGGGAAGCCTGTGCATGCATGAGTATATGTTTAAGAACTCTACTTTTTGCTCAGTTTCACTGTGAACACAAAGCTGGTCTAAAAAAACTAGGTCTATTTAAAGATAGTAAAAAGGAGGGTCAGAGAGAAGGAAACTACAGGTGAAAAACAGCTGTACCATTTTTTCCATTGATTGGTAAATAATAATTTACTATCTCGTGCATTTTATTTTGTTATATTGATATTTTACATATATTAGATATATAGCATTTTATTGATTTATTTTACTAATATTAAACAGAATTATTTAAGATTTGATTGGAAGGATTGTGCATGATGATACTTAGGGGAGTAAGGGAGAAAACTGGCTAAAACAAAGGGAGTGATCAATGGAAAGGATAAATGGGATGGAGATTGTTTGCCATTTAGTGAGAGAGGGAGTAAAGTTGCCATTTCAAAGACTAGAATTTTCCCTAATAATTTTTCAAAGAGAAGCTATTCCTTATTAATGTTTAAAATAGGTTTAGCATTTTATAAGTGTTTAAAGTTGGATGTAAGAAGAAATTAGAAGAATGGGTGTGAGAAAAAGTCAAAGGGAGGGAGGATCCAGGAGAAAAGCAGAGGGGAAAGGAAGAGTGCAGCATCGGATTCCTCCACAGCCACCCAGAATCCCTGTAAGTATAAAGACCCGTAAGAGAATTAGAAGTCTGCCTCTTGGCTACCCTCTGGTCCTTCTGGGAGAGGGGAGGTGGCAGCAGGAGGAGGAAGAACCTAGGACCCAACATCACATTTCACATCCGTGAATGTTTAAATATCAGCTTGGATTACTGTTTGGCCTCAGAAAAACTAAAGTAGGATTACCACATTCTTAGATAAATCCAACCCCAAGAAAACAAAAGTTTTTAATATTGATGATCTGGTGACAACTCCCCTCCAAAAAAAAAATATATATATATATCATAAAGAAAAGTTTATTGTCTTATTTGTGTTTCTCTAAATAGAATAAAATAGAATTTAAGATATTGCAATAAATTTGGATATATGGCATTAATTAGGGTCACACTGAATACATTGTGTTCTCATTATGCCGTTAAGAATTGATATTGCATTTGTTTTGAATTCATTTTCCCTTTAGTGCTTTGCAATAATATTTTAATAGCTTGATTCATTACATTGTATTAATGAGAATATATTATCATAAGTTAAGAATATTAACTATAATAAATAATATAGCTAATCTATAGATAAAATAGATTTACTATACCATCTGCTTTCAATATACAATATAATCAATTGGTTAACTGTGAGAATGGTTTTATTGCCTCTTTTTCATGGTTTCATCATTATTAAGATAGCTAAATCCAGAGAATGTTTAAGTAAAGCACACACATGCAAATACACACATAGAGAAAATGACATTTATAGCTTAACTTTTTTGTAAAAGTGGAATATCCCTTCTGACGTATTATAATTGATGCTATTGCCCAGCTGTATGTCAAAGACACATGTATACAGTGGTAAAAACTTTCATCTCCCTTGGATAGGTGCCAAACAGGTCCTTAATAAAACTGTAAATTGGGGAAAAGTTGTTTTTTGATCTTTTCTGTTTAAAATTAACCCAGTAGGCCCTTTAGTTATCTTCCCTGGGTGCTGTCATCACTATAGACTGTGCAGGCACCTCTGGGAAATTAATTCCCTTAACAACCAGGTCCTTCCTCTTCCTTTCCTTGTTCTCTTCTTACTGGAAGTAAACACATTCATGTTTTCCATAGATATACAGTCTGTGAGTTCTAAGTATTACAACTTTTTTTGTGTTTTTATTTTTTGATGGATGAAAATAATTCCTACGGGCATATTCTGAATCATCAGATGGCCCATCGTATATCATTTTATTTGTAAGCTGGTATAGGAAGGTCTGCTGTAGTCCGCAGAGATATTCTGACCTGGTCACAGAGGGTCTGGCCTTTTATTTCCTTTGAAGAGGGATATTACTGGGTTTTGAAAAGCTGAGTGTCAGCTAATCTGAGAAACACTACTGTAACAAGTAATATACTCTCCCTCCTAATTCTTTATTTATTGAAAATCTACTCTGTGCCTGGCCTTGCACTGGGGATAGGGATAGAGTTTATCAGTGAATGAAACAGACTTGCCTTCCAAGAACATACTTCTAGCAGAAGACAGACAATAATAATAACCATAACAATGAAGTGAAAACATGACAAGTGCTGTAAAGAATTCTGTGACAGGTTAAATTAAAACAAGAATGCTGGATTGGGGTCGGGGCCATGGTTCAGATTGCAATGTTAAATACTGTGGTTGGAGTAGCTTCATAGAGAAAGTGGGATTTGAGTGTCTTTGAAAGAGTTGGAGCATTGAGCCACGTGCCCCAGCACATAAGCGGGATGAATGGATTTTCTATAATAAGAAAACTAAGGAAGAAAGGTGCCATATTATACTCTATCATGCCAAATTATAATTCTTCAATTCCTGAGGGATATTAAAATTAAAGAAAGAAAACAATATTACTGAATGGATCATGATCATGTTATTTTTTTCATGTAAATTCAGAAATATCCAAGTATGTCTTTGTACAAAGCAGTCTGTATGTTAACTAGCCAGTATTTTGCTTTAAATTTTTTAATTGGTCTAAAAATTAAAGGGTAACACAATCTATAAACATATTGCAATGTTTGTTTTTACCAAAAAATCAAAATTTTCTTTGGGTAAAAAGAACACCAAAATTGATTTTGTTGTTGCTGTTAATCAAATACCTATGCTAAGCACTAGGTCTTAGTGTTCTGACTAGCTCTCATGGCGAGTGACTTTTATTTTCCAGGTCTTCTCAAATGAACATCTTATATGAAATGTTCTGGCTTCTTATTTAGTTTCTGGTTCCTTTGAAATATTGGGAGCATTTTCCTATTAAGAATAAATTTATCATTTTGTACATCAGTTCTGTAGCCCTTTAAGACAGTGGTTAAATGTGATCAGTCTTAGGAGTGAGAAGCACTCTTAGTCCTCCATCTGCCTCATGCCATGAGTACTTAGTAGGTGGGCATATTTTTGCATAGAGATGGGTCTGAAATCCATAAGAAAGTTAAAATCTCCTTTTCAAAATTCTGTAGCCTGAAAGGAAATGCATTTGAATGTTTATCAGTAGGATATTAAAGCAAGTAAATGCAATAAAATCTAATGAGAGCACACATTTGCTTTCTTTTTTTGTTTCTGCACCTTAATGCAGTTCAGTGCAATTAATTGTAGCAGCTACTCCATATGAGAAAACCGTTTTGATTTAAGAACCGAAAGCTTCCTCTCTAAGGCACAAGGTGTGTTCTTTGCTCTCTCAGATACGGAGACAAGGAGGCATCCAGCTTCTGGTGGACCTGTTGGATCATCGGATGACAGAAGTCCACCGTAGTGCCTGTGGAGCCTTGAGAAACTTGGTGTATGGGAAGGCCAACGATGACAACAAAATTGCTCTGAAAAACTGTGGTGGCATCCCAGCGCTGGTGAGGTTACTCCGAAAGACCACCGACCTGGAGATCCGGGAGCTGGTCACAGGTTAGAATCCTTATTGATAGCATGACTGTCTCTCAAGATCAATCTCCATTCTCCAGCATACTAGCAAATGTGGAGAGTCTAGACCTCTCCGAGGGCTAACAGCCATAGGCAGTTCAAGTAGATGTTGGCAAATGATGAAACAAATGACTTAAGAGCATATTCAATGTAACACACAGAGATTGATCCAATTCAATAATTATAATCCATAAACATAACCCTCACTAAAATTCTGTGACTATATTTCAGTCTTTGTCATTTGACTTAGTACCCACAGGTCATCATTAGAATGGTATGAATAATGATTAAAGGGACTATTGTATTCTTCACTCAAGCTCCAAGGGCCCTTCCTTTATCTCTATAACTTGTTTCCTAAGCCCATTTATTCTATGAATTACTTTTTCTACCTCTGATTTTGTAAATAAATGCTATCTTATAGTTTGAAAAAAAATGATAATGATTAAAGAGCCTGGTATCTGAGTTATTGCTAAGAATGTATATATTCTGGTTTATACTGTGGTTAACAACAGAGAATTGATTGTATTCAACAGTTTATTTCAGTTATAAAATATTTATGCCTACAATGTCCTAAGGTTATATGGGATTAAATATTAAGGAACTTTTCGGTTGTGAACATGAGAGAAAGCCTTTCCATAAACGTAGAACGTTTGAGTTTTGTAAAATAGAGAAAACTGTCAGAAACACCTCTTAGGAGCCATCAGGATTAATGAATGAGAACATGTAAAGCACTTTGTATATGCCTTTCTTGGGATACATGTGGATACAGTAAACATCAGCCATTCGCTATCATCCCTCACTTTTAAAGTATGCACTTTTACTTGTTGGAGTGCTAACAACATTGGTGTCCTCAACATGGAATTTCAGATTGCTCTTCTTGATTATACACATGGCTGATCTGGGTGATATTTGTTTGGGTCCATCAACCTTTCCCATTCAAGTAAATATTTTGCCAGTGGTTTGCAAGGTTGGCTCTCAAAAGTGGATGTTTTCATTACCCAGGATTCCGCTGACCTCTGACTTGGCTCTAAAATTTTCTTGTAGTTATGCTGATGAAGTCTGTGTGAATTTGTCTATTTAAGGAAGTACATTACTCAAGCCAGAGTTATAAATAATTTTACAATCTTGGTTCAAGACTCCCAGTGTCAGCATCTTTTCTTAAATTTACACTCTTAAAGATTATTGCCATGTCTCTTTGCCATGATGGATCCTATGGAAAAACAACAAGCCTTTGGTCAAGCTGTCACTCTAGAAATAGAAATCAGAAATGAGCATCTATAAGAATATTCCATTGTGAGACAAATGGCTTTAAGTAACCAAGTCATGACCAAGCCTTCAAAATATCCACACTGGCAGAAATCTGAGGGCTTCTGGAAACTCGCAGGGCTCTGCTGACTTCTGCTTAGTCACAGCATGGTGTTGCACATCTAGCCAAAGCTGATTCCACTGCCTGATGCAAGAGGTAAAATGAGACAAACGAATACACCTCAAAGGGCCTTAGAGAGTCATGTTCATTTTCTGCACCAGCCTGTGGTCATCTGCCAAATATAAGAGCATGGAATCAGTGGGCTCCCACAGAGCTGGGGGAATCCAGAATTTTAGTACAGTCAAACCTAGTATTTAACCTCAAGGTCATCCTTAGTTGTCTTTTCTCAAATGCTTTTGCATTTCTACAGGGTCAGGTGTGTGCTAAGCTTTAGACTTCTGCATAGGCAGGGTTGGCGTTAGTTGACCACACCCACACCGGCATGCTGATAACTAACACCAGTGCCCACTGTGATGGGTGGGCCCCTGTTCTGAATTGTCGAACCATATGTTCCTGGCAGCTAAATATTAGGAAGTCCTTGACAAACATGTTCACATTTTGGAAACTTAACTAGGTGAGCAGCAAGGGAGTCGATGGCTCTGGAGGGTAGAGTAGAGAGTAAGAGTAAAGAGGCTTTCTTTGTTTCTGTTGTCACAAGCTTCCCCTCCTCCCCAAATCCTCTTGGGAATTAGGTTATATATGTATATAAAAAAATTTAAAAAGCAATGATTTAAAAGTAACAAATAGTACTTCCTTTGTAATTCTCCAGTGGAACTAATACAGAGTTCAGCAAGGAGTAAGTACTGAGGATATTCCAGGAGGCCCATTAGGACACACTGCGTATAAGCAAGTGCATGAAAACAAATGTGCTGAAAACATAGGGGGATAATGAGCTTTGAATTTCTTTCTGGATATTTACAAATGGGTATTTTGTAAACAAATATTCAAAAGAACAAGTTTAGTGTTTTGTTTTTAAATCAAGCATGTTTATAAACCAGATTTTAGATTAGATCTAGTTTCTATATATAGAGGAATCTAGAGTACCAAATTATAAGCAATAAAAGACTCAAAGAAAGGAATGATCTGCATGGCTTTAAATTATTTACTGAGTATTCTTTGACAAACTGTTTGAACAATAATAAAATATTAAACTGGAAGTATTTACATATATTTACATTCAACACAAACATGCATGCTTTAAAAAAAAACAGCTGCCTGTTTGCACTGCCATATCTGTTCACAGTAGAATAAATAGTGCCTGTTAGGCCTTGCAATAAATAACTTTCTTCCTATGCCATAATTGCTGTGAGATGATGATCAGAATTTTATTAAATCCAGTTGAAGCCATTATATGCTAGCCATTACTTCAAATGCGCCAAAGCAAATAAACTTTGATTAGAAATGCTGCATGTCCTTTGGGCTTGACTAATATAATTTTTCTCTCTGTAAATATGGAAATAATCAACCTAAATTTTGAAATGCCCAACTAAAGATTTCAGAGTGCTTTACAAATCATAATAAGACAGCTTTTATTGAACCATAAAACTTAATAAATAAGTTTTATTTTAGTTGAAAGCAAGAGTCCTTATGATTTCTACTTCTTCGAGTGGAGTGTATTCTTTGATCTTATGCTTTGCAGACCTGAATAGTCTTTCCTTTAATTAAAGAGACAGAGCTCACTTTACCTACTTCACTTAGTAGTTTTAGGTCAGTTGCTTAGTCTCCAAAGGGTTCTGCTATAAGTTGAACTATGTTCTCCCAAAATTCATAGGTTGAAGTGCTAACCCATAGTCCCTCAATTATGTTAGCATACTAGAGGAGAGTGAACCCTTAATCAGATAAGGCTGGTGTCCTTATGAAAAGGGGAAATTTTAACACAGATACATACAGGGATAATGCATTGTGAAGATGAAGGCAGAAATTACGGTGATGCTTCTACATGGCAAAGAACACCAACTATTTTCCGAAAGCCATCAGAAGCTCAGAGAGATGCATAGAACAGATTCTCCTCACAGCCCTCAAAAGAAACCAACCCAGGTAACATCCTGATTTTGGACTTGTAGCCTCCAGAACTGTGAGACAATCAAGTTCCTGTTTAAGTCATTTAGTCATGGTACTTTGTTATGACAGCTGTAGGCAACTAATACAGACCTGTATCCAGACTGCTCATTCTCTTTTTTCCAGAAGTGAGCAAACACATTCACTGGTCAGGCAAATGTAAAACCATGACGGTTTAATAGTATCACTGTTTAAAATAAATGGGTCCCTATTGGCCTGATTTCATAATTCATCTTCTTAAAGCAACTACTTATGAAGGATTGGAAGCAGCAAAGGTGATAATTAAAAACATCACCTTCTTTTACTTTTTTCAATCAAAGTAATAGATATATTTGATCAAAAAATAAAAGAATTTGAAAATGCTTATAATGAAAACAGCAGTCCCCTGCCTCATCTGTCTTCCTATAAACTTTAGAGGCATTTGGCTTAGATTTGCTTTGTTTTCCTTTGTGGGTTTTTTGTTGTGTGTGTGTGTGTGTGTGTGTGTGTGTGTGTTTTCATTTTCTCGTGGTTATTTCATGTATTTAAATAATACGTGTATTTTACTCTACATCAATTAGATGGGCTTTTCATATTGATTTTCAATTATGCTAGAGGAGAATTTTTTTTCATTTTCATCATTTATGTTTTCTTCTTACCAAAATGGTATGACCATTATTGGTCCTTTTGCATATTTAATCAGTAACCTTAAAGATAAGTCTCCAATTTTTTCATCTAACTCAGACTTCTTCTCTTATCACTCATTTTGTAAGTTAAGGGTGTTAGTTCTCCCGTGTTTTCGCCTTTCATATTCACAACCTCTGTCATTATGCTTGACTTTTATGTTGTCAGGGTTGACTGCATTTGCCATCTCTTCTGTTACCATAGTCAATCTTCCAAGATTTTCTGTAGCTTGATTCAAGGACTTGAAAGCCAGAGACCAGCCTTTGCATATGTGGGGCCTAACAGTCACATTTCCCCCACCACCATGGATCCAGTATGATGCTTGTCAAAGGAGTACATTTCTGGCATCATGTCTGGAAGGATCCTCCATCAAATCAACTTTGTCCATAATTTCAATCATCATCAATTCCAAAGATTCTCACTACCAGAATCCTCTGTTTGGGGCAGATTTGGGTGATTGCTCTCTAGACTTGCTGCATAGCTCTCCTGGTTTGGAACTTCTGTCTCTTAGATTCCATACCTTCCTCTTTCTTGGTTTACTCTCTTATAAGTTTCTTTAAAAAGGTGCTTAGAAGATAAAATTGTGAAAATGTCCTTATTGCATCTTCACACATGACTGATATTTTATATGGGTGCATAGACATTTATTTTTCTAGTGAATATGTTCTATATTTTAATTATAGTCTTGATACTATAAAAAGCCTGTGATGCTAAATCTAGGTTTGTGCCTTTTAAAAAATCATTGGTATCAGATACTAAGAGTTATAACCTTAAGTGTCAGAAAATTGTCTTGTTATTTTGTTAAAAATTTGTCCACTTTTGTGTTCTCTCTGGAATTATTGTGTTAGATTTTGAACCTCATGGACTTTTCCTCTCAGCAACAGAGGTATATTGGAGCTTTCTGCCTTCTTATCATACATTCTGAGAGATTTTTTCAAGTATCCAACATTGTCCTAAA